AACCATTTCTACATGGACAGTTCATGATATGAATTACATTCAAGTTGTGGAATTATTCCCCATCTCCTTTTGAGTTGTTCCTTCCCAAACAACATAAACTCACTGCCCTCCAAGTTTCCAATCTAATCTGTGAGTCTGCAGTTGCCACCAGTCAATCTGCAGAAGACAGGGCTTTCTACTCCCCTACAGAGTTGCGGTCTTGTCACCCTAAGTACAGACAAGGACAGTCTTTTTGGCGGGGTTGGGGTGGGGTAAACTCAAAGATCACATACAGTTAGATCCTAAACATGCATATCAGAGACACAATGGACTAGTTCTAACTGTGAACCATCAATGTCTAAAATAAAACCGAGTCAATCCAGAGCCCCATGTTACCTCCTAAGAATAAGGATATGTCATAGTTAACAAATACAAATATTATTCAGAAATAATGAACATAGATGGGATTCGAGAGCATAAGACATTGTTTGCTACCCTTCACAAATTAGTACATAGAATAAGAGTGCTATGTGCCCCCCCCCCCCAGTTGACTCCAACTCAGAATGACCCTTAGGACAGGTTACAACTGCCCTATAGGTTTCATAGATTGTAAATCTTCAAGGGAATAAACCACCAAAGTCTGCTGCATAGAGCCTCTAGTGAGCCCCATCTGCCAGCCTTTCTGTTAGCAGCTGAGTGCTTTAACCATTGTGTCGTTAGGGCTAAGGATATTAAAGGGACATTAATGACACAGACGTGTTAGAGTCTTGGAAACCCACAGGGGCAGTTCTACACTGCCTATAGGGTCGCTGTAAGCCAGAATTGACTCAATGACTTTGGTTTGGTTTGGTTTGGCTTGTCATTTTGATCTCCTATAGATAGATTGTGAGTGTAATATGCAAGGCAATTTTTTTAACTAGTTAAGTTAAACCAATGTTTGTTTTTCAGATGACCTGAGGGAATATTTTCAGTTTAAGGTTTAAAGATTGTCACAGGTCCATAGTTTCTGGGGTTCATCCAGCCGCTATGAGTCATGAAAATGTGAGATTCTAGTCTACAGACTCTTTCATCATGCTTAGTAATGGTAGCTGGGCACGATCCAGTTTTTCTTGTGTCACAGCAAAGGAGGCCATTAGTTACAGAGGCAATTAGCTACACATTGCTTGTTCTCCGCCCAGGCCCAATGCTCCCTTTTTCTGTAATTTCAGAGGTTCCTTAGTTTGCATACATGTACTATGGTAATGAAATTGGGTGAAGAAGATATGGAGACTGTGTATTTTCTTTGCAACTTTGCTGTAAAGCTATAGTTATTCCAGATAAAAAAATATTTTAAAAAAGTAATGCAAAGTAGCAACATACACAAGCAAAATCTGCTTGGGCCCCCTGGGGTATCCTTTCTGATGCTATCTGATGTGCCTGTGACTAAGGTGGCCAATTTCTCCCTTCCCCTTCACACACAACCTCGTTATTGGCTTCATTTAACAACTGTGAATGTATTTCATGTGCATGTATCTACAGTAGGAAAGTGACTGTGAGGGTGGGGGTGGGGAGACCTGCCTGGGTTTCCTAGGAGACTAGATGATGAATTTGAGCTTTGATCTAGAAAAACCAAAACCAAACAAACAGGGCCCTGCTTCAGAAGGAAACAAGTGAGTAGCTGTGGGCGGGATGGTGCTAGCCCAAGGAGTTGGTTCCAAAACAGAAGACAGGTAAGGTTTTTGGAAAGAAGACAGATTGCAGGGGGTTGCTATCAGACAGCCCGACTATGGAAGATATCGTTAGGATAAAATGTTTATACTTAGCATTTGATCGCCCTTTGGATCCATTTTAAAATTGTTTCGGTTTTTAATATTTTCTGCTTTCTTTTTGATTGAGGTTTTTGTGTTTTTTAGGCAGTGTTTTTGTTTGCTTGTTCTGTGTTGCAGGATTTTCTGTTAATCAGGATTCGTTGATCTCCAGAGACAGTAATTGGATTGATAACTGTCTAGGGGCATGGTAGGGGAGAATGGGGCAGGAATGAGTACGAGAAGAAAATGCTCTGAATTTGATTGTGGTGATGATCGCATGCCTTTTAAAAATGATTGAGTATTAAATTATATATATGAAGTATAATGCCAAAAAGATTACTGAAAATGAAGACCCTATGCTGGACCACCCATTCATTTTCTTTGTCTGACTTATGCCTGGACTTTTAGACTCTTTGACCTCTACCATCCTTGCTGTTGGTACTATTATGTGAACAAAGGTTGAAAAACCAGTGGCTGCCATGAGTTATTAGGAAGGGAGGGAGCAAAGGAGGGACTTTCTGGGGCCTCAGCCCCAAGAGAGTACCAAACTGTGTACTTGTTGCCTTACTCTTCCCATTTCAGCAGTTCTGTACATAGTAGATGCTCAATATATACTTGTGAATGTCTCAGTAAGGCAGGAAGCTAGAAACTCGAGAACTTGGGAATGTGTTGCTCTTGAAAACCACTAAATCCTAACATGCCTTAATCCGAAACATCACTTTCAGTTTTTATAATAAGTAAGGCCATTAAAAATATTCTGAAAACTCCATTTCTCACATGCATGGGGAGATCTGGCCTCTGATTCTCAGAGGTTTTCAATTAAAATTCCTATTTCGGAGATAGCTGTATTACAGTGAAACACACATCCCCAAGAGGAAGAAAACAACTGTCCAGCTGTATAATTTGAAGACCAGAGAAATGGACATGCTAAAAGACGTCCTCACTGAGATTTTAATTCCGATTACAGTCCATGAAACAGAGAGGAAAAGGTTCAAGCAAACTCACTTGTTCATCAACTACTGCAGTCCTTCACTACCCCCTGGTACACCAAGTCCATGATGAAATTTTCACCAAAGTAATTGAGAAAATAAGGAAATGGAGTTGATTTTGTAAAAATGAAGTTCACTCATTTTGATGGTCTAAGATTAGATTGTGCTGTCATTATTCTCCCCCAGTATTAAATGGTTCTCCTCTTATGAAGATGATAATAGATAGCAACAGTTTTTTATTCTAATCAAGTGTCTTTGGAGGAAAAGAACAGTGACCTCTGTCAATCCCACAATGATAGTCACTCATGCAATTTTGATGTCTGGAAAAGATGGCTATCAACTGACTTATTTTTTTGGTGTTAAAGCACTCTGGGAACTGGGGAGAGATCATGAGAAATTTACTTGTTGAGTATACTTACTGGCAGGCACTAAGTTTGACATACTCATGATTTCTCAATACAGCTTTACAATTTGACTTCGGTATTCTCATTTTATAGGGCATCCTGGTAGCATAGTGAGTTATCCATTGGGCTGCTAACCGGGAAGTCAGCAGTTCAAATCCACCTGCTGTTCCTGGGGAGAAAGGTGAGGCTTTCTGCTCCTGAAAAGGCTTCCAGCCTCGGAAACCCACAGGGGCAGTTTGGACCATTACACACAACTATGAGTCAGAATGGACTTCATAGCACGGAGATGCTCATTTTAGAGAGGAAAAAAAATGGAGGTTGACAGAAGACAAAAGCTTGTGTGACTACTGCACTATGACCAGAACCCAAATTCCAGTTTCTGTTTGTACAGTCTGCACTCTTTCTGATAATGCCAACACATGTATTATAGAGAGTCTCCAGCAGTAATTTGGGAGGGATCATCTTCAGTCTTTGTATACATCTTGATGCTACCTTTTCAAACTCACTTTTTGATTTGTAATTTTGCAGTGAAATTATATAGCTAGTTAGTGTAAACAAACATTCAGGAAACTTAAAAGTGTTGGTAAATAATATCTTTTTATGCTTGATTCCAGACCTTTCCCCTTTTACTCAAATCATCATGTAGAACATACCAAGAAATATTCGTATGATAGCACCCTGATTATATGCAATTGGGACAAGCGGCACCACTGCCGACTCCAAGTCCTCAGGCAGAGGTCAGTAAGAACCAAGTCGCCTCAATGAATTGAAGACAATCAAGACCCAAGAAGAAATAGGGAGCCAATCATACTGCCACCCAGAACTTGAGATTAAGGACCCTTTGTGACTGAAGAGTAAGCCAAGGTGTGATAATTTCATTTGTCAGGCATGGTAGGGAAGAATGAGAGCCAAGATAAGGAGGGCGG